CTGGTTGAATGATTGCTTGGCTGATCTCTTAGTTTCTGCCAGTTGATGAGAATTAGCCAGAAGTTTGACAACAGAAAAAAAAATTATATTTATAGTAATAAAAACAAAATTTGCTTATGTATCTCCTCCAGTCTCAGATAGATAAAGACAATGGTCACTTTCAGAAAAAGAAATGAGAAAAAAGTTTGTTGTTGTTGTTTGGGAGGGGGGCTTTGCCTGTTGATGTTGGTGTATTTCTTGAGATGCCCTAGTTTTCAAAGGCAGATCAGTGGCTTTCACACAATCCTGAAGCTGCTGAGAAGCTGATGCAGAGGCTACATCAAGCAAATTCAGAAGCTCCCTTCACCTCTTTGCCAGAGATGAGGGTTAATGGCCAGTACCTGAAGCCTGTGAAGAGGATGGGGAGAGTTTGAAGGAGAAAAGTGACCTAGGTGACCTTGGACAAATCACTTCACTTTTCTAGTCATCAGTTCCCTGTTCCATAAAATGATGGCTTAGACTCATTGTTCAATAAGTCCCTTCCAGCTCCCAATCCTGTGTTCCCAGGTGATCTTTGCCTATTACCATTTCCCCTCTTGTGGTGAACCTTAGGACACACAGATTTGTGTCCAAAGCTGAGGCTGCACGAAATGAAACGTGTATGAGCATGAGGGAACTAGCCTCAGACTGTGCTTAACAGTAAATGGAAGCACCAGGACAAAAAAGACAAAGCCTGGAAATAAAGAGGGCCCATAGTAGTCAAAGCTTAGGCCATCACAATGAACGCAATTTGTCGTAAGAGGAGGCCTCTGCATCTCCAACTTCTTTGTGAGCTAAGTGCTTTCTTACTCCATGAGACAGCAAAATATAGAATGCATACAAAAGTCCTGAAAATTTTTTTTATAAGACCATTGAGGAGAAAAAAGATTTTTTTACTGGTTTGCTTTTTTGCCCACTAAGAACTACCATGCCATTTCTCTTCTAAAATTTAGAAGATTTGAAAAATATTAAACTGGTTTTTTATGAACAATTCTTTAGCTAAACTATCTCCTGCAAAAAAATAGGGGGTCAAAATTAGACAATATAGTTTTCTCATCCTTTTTTTTAAACTGAGTAATACAGATTAAAAGCAACTTCCCCTTCCCCAATGCAAATCCGCATGCATGTCCACTTACAAGTACAAAAGAAAACAAAGACTTCATCAAGAAATGAGAAATATTTTGTCACCAACTATTTCATGGTGCTGCAAAGCTCTTACAGCCAAGATTAAATAGCATAAACATTAGGGATATTACTACATTCAACCAGATTCCAAAAGAGCCAGAATAGCTGACATTTATATTGTGCCTAAGGTTGAGAGAGTTCTTAGTATACATTAAGTCATTTGATCCTCACAATCAATCCATCAGCCAGTATATATTAAGGACCTGCAATGTGCCAGACCTACAATGTGCTCACATTCTAATGGGGGAAGATAACACAGATAGGGGAGCAGTAGCCAGGGAGGAATATTTTGGTAATGTTGATTTAGTTACTGTTTTCAGAACTGCAGTAGCAAAGAGGGTAGAGGGACAATGTATGCACAGTGGTATGTCAAGAAGATTGAATAAATGGATGCATGGCTCATCCATCACAGCAAAGTGTAGACAAAATATGTCTGTCAGATTGGTGGCTGTGACGAAATTCTGGGAAATGTATTCACCAAAACTAGCATATGCTTGACTGTTGTTAACTCCACATATATTGAAATAGGGAGTCCTGAAATTGTTGACAATTATTACCTTTTCTATGGTAAGAGTTCATTTGCAAGCCTACAGGGGGGGGGGGGGTCCCCCCCCAGCTAATTCTTGGCTACCTAAGGCAAACAATAGCTACTTAACTGTTATCTATGATGTCTTAAGTAGGAGTCCATCTTTCAGCTTCTTTCTTTCTCTCCTTTGTTGTTACTATTCCTCATACTTTATCCACTATCTTTCCATGCTCTCTCTCTTCAATGTTGTAGCACCTTCTGTCCCCACAAGGAGGCTACCTCTCTTCTCATGGTCTCTGCGATGAAGGAAGAAGAAAGGGCAAGGTAGACCTAGGCAAAACTGGGGAGGAGGAAAAACCTGTCCTCAGCATCCTCTAACTTCCCTTTATGTGTCTCTCTCCAGGCTCCCAATGCTTCTTACTTTTCTTCCAACTAATGCCCTTAAATAGCCCAGTGGCCAAGACTAGATTGTCACAGTTGCGCCATACTTGAAAATTACCTGCTTGTTCTCTCATCACAAATCCTATTTGCTCCAAGATAATGGAGGCAAAGTTAATTTGCAAACCTACATTATCATTATCAGGAGAAACATCTTTCATATGGTCTTTCCTTCAGCCAAATGCTGAAATCAGCAAGCAGAGGGACTCCCTCTTCAACGGTCCCCATTAGACACATGTAATGTGTAACAATTCCACAAGGTGCCGCTATGTTCTCTGAAAGCCCTTCACTCTTTCCAACAATAGACTGCATATTCAGAGTTCAACATTTCTTAAGTTAACAGTGTCAAAGACATAAACTATTTACTTAAAGCCTTGGCCTCTTTTAAAAAAAAGAAATGAGATGTGCATATTTTCCTTTCCAATTGTGCACCAATGCCAGGTACTTGGTTGATATTAAAATTCTCCACCTAATTGTTTAAACAAATGACTTTTAACTGGCGTCAGCAGTGGTGCAAGTAACTTGACAGCAGTTGTGGTCTGGGTCTCCTACTTCCTGTCCCAAAAGAGAAACAGAAGCGAGAGTTGATGGAACTCACACTAGCCTACTGGCCAAGGAGTAGTAACATCCTGAGAAAGATACTTGATCTTGACTCTTCAAGCATTTATTGAGGGCTTTCTACTTACCCAACAAAGTACAGTAGACATAGCCCAGAGGATCTATTTTTTGTTTGTTTTTCTGCATTCTACTCCTGGCCCTAATAACGAATCCTAGGTCCTATCATCTCTCTGGGTCTCTGTTTCTCCATTTAAATATACTATATTCTCTCTTTCCTCTCCTTAATTTCACAAAGATTATATTATGTTTTGTGTCCGTTTCAATAAACCTAGAATGTAAACTCCTTAAAAGCAGGGACTTTTCATCTTTGTATCACCAGTATCTCACTCATAGTAGTCACCTAATAAATAGTTTTAAAATTAATTGTATTAACAGTAACATCTGTAAAGCAAACTATGAAAATAGTCATTTACCTCTTGTACCCTGAAAAAAGGCAAATGACCTTCTTAACTGGCCCTTTACCCCTTCTCTTCCAGCCAAAAGTTCTGACTTTTACTGCCTCTTTTCATTTGCCAAGTGATTCCTCCCCCACCCCCACAGACCTTCAAGCTTCATACTTCAGAGAATTGGCAAAATGACAAGAAGGAGAAGATCACTTTCTTTTTCCCTCTTTTCTTTCTATTGGCACCCCAACAGAGCAATTGGCACATGGGAAACCCTTGGGGCTAAAGATTTCCTCAGTGAAGGGAGCTCCTCATGAAGGACTTCCTCTACAAATGTAGGCTGGAAACTTCTTGGCAATTTGTATAGTCTTAGAGAATCACTTGGGACACTAAATGGTTAAGTAACTTGCCCAGAACTACACAGTCAGTATCAGAGGAACCTCCTGAACCCAGAACTTCCTGACTCTGAGATCAGCTCCCACTCAGGGAAGACATTAGTACACAGTTCAACAGACATATATTAAACACCTATTGAGTACATAGAATTCACTGATGTGGGTGCTGGGAGTGCAAAGACAAAAATGAAAACAATCCCAACATTCAAAGAATTTCATAAGTAAATGCAAAGTACACTTGAAGTGATACAAAAGCAATATCAAGAAATAAAAAACATTAACACCTGAGGGATCAGGGAGCCTCCTATAGGATGTAGTCCTTGGGCTGAGCTTTGAAGGAAGAGAGGCATACTGAGCAGCAGAGATCAGGGGACAAGGCATTCCAAATGTAAGGCAGAGAGATGGTAGATGGAATATTGTGTAGGAGGAGTAGCCAACTTGGTTTGAAATGGTGAACTTCTAAAGAGGAACAATGTGAAATAAGACTGGACAGGTAAGTAACAGCCATGTTATGGAATGCTAGATTGAGAGTTTTATATTGTATCTAAGAGGCAATAGAGAACCACTAAAGTTTTTGAATGGCATCATGGTTAGATCTGTGTATTGTAAATCTCAGTTTGTCAGCTATGAAGACAGTGAATTGAAGAGGGAATAAATATTCCAGAAGTAGGGCACTCAAGAGGCTCTCATAAGGGTCTAGGTGAGACAATGACTAGAACAATGTAAAGAGAAATACAAAGAGAATCAAAAGTGAATGTTTCCGAATTATGAAAAACAAGCATGGCTTGAAAAAAGAAATACAAAAAGACACCCCCATTTGGCTCCTTTGCAGAGGTAGAAGATCCATGAGCATTATATGTGGTATTTATTCTCTTTTTTTCTATGTTATCAGTTATGCTGGGGGTTTTTTCCCCTTTTTCTTTTGTTGTCTTAAAAATACCATTTGTCATGTGAGATGGATTTTTGGTACATGGAGGGGGAAGGATACTTTGAGAAAATATGGTGATGTGAAAAAAATCAATAAAAACTTATTTTTCTCTAGGGAAGAGTTGATGAAGGGTTGAATTAGTGTGGTGATAATATGAGGGGAGAGAAGATAATAAATTAGGGAAATTAGAGGTAGAATTAACAAGATTTGACGTCTAATTGAACATGGGGACAGAGAGAGTCAAGGAAATCTCTAAGAACATGACCTTGAGTAACTGGAAAACCAGTGGTGCTCTACACACAAACAAGGAAGTTTATAAGAAGGCTAAGTTTCAGAAAAATATGAGTTCTGTTTTAGACATGCTAAGTTTGAGGTATCTAAGATACCCAGTAACCCTATTAGTTATGTGGCCGCCCAGGCAGAATTTAAGTAGAGACAGAGAAGATGGGAAATTAAGTCATCTGATATTTTCTTCTTCCCTCCTTCTCCCCCCCCCTTTTTGTTTCCAGCTGGCAAATCGGAAATAGTGAAGTGGTTGTTCACCTGGCCACTGAGTTTGGTCTTATACTTCACTGTCCCCAACTGCAACAAACCCCGATGGGAGAAGTGGTTTATGGTGACATTCGCCTCTTCCACCCTGTGGATTGCAGCCTTCTCCTATATGATGGTTTGGATGGTGAGTGTTGCACCAAATGCTTAGTCCTCAGGCCCTCACTAGCCCTGAAGCTTTTCAGACAACAGTGTCACTACCTCTTGAGGGTAGACAAGATTAGTGGCTGCAGCTATAACTAAAACCCAAAGCAATTCAGAAAATTGGGCTTTCCTTGGAGGATCTGAGATCTGATCCTTCCTTTATGTGACAGTGGATAAAGCAAGCTGTTTCATCTCTCTGGGTCCCTCATTTATAAAATAAACGGATCATAGATTTAGAGCCAGAAAAAAGGAAATTCAGAGTTCACTTTGTTCAACTCTCTCATTTTATAAATGAGAAAACTGGGATCTGGAGAAGTTAATGCTTTGCTCAAGTCATCTGACTCTTCAGTCCAGTATTCTTTCCACTGCTCCACAGTGGTTGTAAAAGACCCTATTATCCCTTCTGTCCCTAAAAGTCAATGTTTCTATGGAAAAGGATGTAATCTAATGTTACAGAATTGGACATGGGAAAAAGTTAACATGTGTGCAAAATATTACAAATGCCATAAGCACAGGTCTCATGTGTTATCTCTGCGTCCCACAGCATCTAGCACAATGCTCTGCCTACAGTGGGTGCTTAATAAATGTTTGCTGAATTGAATTATTAAATTCACAAGACTCAATTAACCTAGCATGTGTCTGCTGTTTAGTGTATCAGGATGCATATAAAGAATTAAATTTAGGGTATAGATAATTTGATAGATAATGATGGATGTGACATTATCATTTTAACACTGATGCTTCAAAATGATTTATCTGTTTGTCATGGAGGTAATAAGTGTATCCAACAGTTTGTCTCCTACCCTCTCTTAATATAGAGGCAAAGGGTAAATAAGGTAATCAAACTGACCCCTTTGATTTCCTATCTTAAGCATTCCCTTTCCCTCTTCCTCCAGCTGAGGTGCTAATGAGCCTTGAAAAAAAGCGAGCTGGTCCAGGCCACCTGGATAATTAGCTGCTGGATAATGGAGACTTTTCTGGATCAGTAAGAATAGTGAGGATGCAATTTGAATAGCATTTCCTTTTCAGTCCAAGAGCAATTGAGCCAAACCAGGCAACTACAGGGAATAAGCTGAGGGTTAGAAGGAAAAAGCAAGGTTTGGCCAAGAGGGTCAGTTTTAGCTAGGGCATTCGTAGTTAAGCCAACAAAACCAAACTCCGTTTCACAAAAGGCTTTTCAGAGCCACTAAATATGAATTGAATGTATTTCTAAATAGAACGACATTTCTCCTTGGAGAATGCAAGCATTCAGAGAACCCCAAGTCTACACCAAGTGCCATTCAGCTTAAATAGGAAAGTTGCACATGTTTCTTGGTTTTAAAAGGATGATAGCCAAGGTATCCCAGAGGACTTTAACTAAACTCTCCCAATTCTCTCAACAGGAAAATAACAATTCTCTCAAACTGCTTTCAGAGAGTAGTCAGGCTTTTGTACATATATATGCTTCTCTAGGCTTTCACACTCTGATGCACCGGGAACCACACAGAATTGTGCTACTTACAACATATGGTTTGCATTTCTTGTAATTTCATAGAGGGTGGGGAAAATCAAGTGCTATCCTAAAATGACCTAGTCAGTTTCAGCTGTTCAAGTCCACTTCTCCCAAACTAGAACATGCAGCCACAATAAATTTGCTTGGATTCCTATTTGAGGGATAAGGTATTGGAGTCGGAATCAAGAAAAGCTGGATTCAAATCCTGCCTCAGACACTTACTAGCTGTGTGACCCTGGACAGTTCATTTAACCTCTCTGGGCTTCACTTTCTTCATCTGTAATAATTAGTAAATAAATGAATAAATAAATTCTATATATGTGTGTGTGTGTGTGTGTGTGTGTGTGTGTATACACACACACACACACACATATAACATTTTTACATTGCTTACTATGTGGCAGGCATTGTGTTAAGCACTTACCAACTATCATCTCATTTGACCTTTACAACAACCCTGGGAGGTGGGTGCTATTGTTATCCCCATTTTACAGCTGAGGAAACTGAGACAAAGAGAAGTTAAGTGACTTGTCTAGAGTCACATAGTTTGTGTCTGAGGTCAGATTTGAACTCAGGTCTCCCTGATGTCAGACTCACTGCACAACCTAAAACAAAGGGACTGGACTCCTGAATGTTCTCTAAAGTTACTTCCCCCTTCAAAGCTTTGGTCTTATGATCTCATGTGGCTTTTACACTGGTACATGTTGTGATGTTGTCTTACCTGACTATTCTCTGCTTCAGTTCCCTTGTCTGTTCACTGGGGATAAGAATATTTGCCACTTAATTTTTGGCAATGTTTTGAAATGTCCCAGATGCCACCTGTTGTCACTCTCCATAGCTGAAATCTCTTTTATGTAAATTGTCTCTGGCAATCAAGAAGCGACTTACTAGGGTTAATTCCTGTTTAGGTATGGTCAGATAAAGTAGTCGATGAAGTCTCTTCGGCTCGCCAATAGTTTTCTATTCTATGTGTTTCCATCTTTAAAATGACAAGGAGCAAACTTGCCTGAATACACAGTACTAGGCTTCAAGACTAAATAAATAAATAAATAAAGACAGAGACAGAGACAGACAGAGACAGAGAGACAGAGACAGAGAGAGACAGACAGAGACAGAGAGAGAGAGAGATGGAGTGATTTGAAGATAGGGTAGACTGGGATGGGATGTAAGAGAAAGCAATCCCCTTTCACCACTTGTCAATTTCCATCACACATTTTTTTGGAGCCCTTCTGGCAATGCCACACATGTTGTCTGCACTGTGATTTTTTTCCATGATCCCACAACTTTGGAAAATTTAACATCTTGCTTCTAAACCTTACGTATCATCATTGAACTGAATAGTGCTATAAGCTCAGTCTTCTAGTGAGACTACGCAGACACAGGCTAAAAGCATCCTGTTCTTTGTTGTCCCAGGCTCTCCTGAACACCTCCTAACAATACATTTTCCCTCCTCGCAGGTTACAATTATTGGCTACACTTTAGGTATTCCTGATGTGATCATGGGGATCACATTTCTGGCAGCTGGGACAAGTGTGCCTGATTGCATGGCCAGCCTCATTGTGGCAAGACAAGGTAGGTTAGGAAGGAAGGAGGGAGGAAAGAAAGGGAAAGGAAGGAAGGAGAGGGAAGGGAGGAGAAAGAGGGGAGAAGAAAGAAGGGAAGAGGAAGAAGGGAGGAGGAGGGAAATCTCACAAGACTCCAGTTGCAATATAGAGTTGTAAATTCTAAGCAAACTGTCTTTGAATGAGAACATGGGTCAAATAAATCCAATGTCAATAAGGAAGATGCTTTTCAAAAAAAGACAAGTTATAAACTAGTTGTAGGATTTTACTCTTAGAGAAAGAAGAGTACCTATCTAGGCAGAATCCCCAAAGATGCTTTCTAACTTTGGGACACTTTGCCTTCAGATGAGACTTGCTCCTACATACTGGCTTTTAGAAAGTCCTGCAAAGCACAGATTACAATTCACCCTCTCCAAGCAGCCTGCAGTGACTAAACTTGGCAAGTTGTTCACTCATCATCATTTCTTCATCTTTATGTGCTAAAAGCTAAATTAAGGAATGCTTCTTTAACTTTATGGGAGGATTTACAGTAAATTTGTGTAACAAACTACTTTAATGCACTTAAAATATAACAGTTGCAGAAATTCCGTTTCCATGCAACTTTTTAGGAAAGTGTCTCTTCCCTAAAATAAAGTATACCATTGTATATTAATATTAATCAATGGAAATACCCATCAAGTAATGTTAAGAACTGATAGTACTATAAAACACAGTCATTTGATCCTTACAGCAATCCTGTGAGGAAGATGTTATTGTGCCAGTTTTCCAGATGAGCAAACAGAGACACGGAAGGAACAAGTAACTTCCATACAATCACTTAGCTAGCAAATGTCTGAGACACAATTCAGAATGAGGTCTTCCTGATTCCATGTTCAGCATTCTATCCACTCTGCTGTCTAATGTCCTCTAAAACAAGAAATGTGTGAGGATTTGAAAAGCAATAGGAACAGTTAGTTTCAAAGAAGAACAGGTAGGCAGCTAATGTGGATGAGTTTGGGTCCCCTTAAGAAGCATTTTTTTTAATTCTTAGATTCCTCTCCCCTCCCCATTTGTTTTCTAAGATTGCTTCATAACCTTCTGGTATATCTACCACCTTTTAGCAAATGAAAATACTGGTAATACCAGTAATGTTTAGATGTGGGGAGTTTTTGTTTATATTTCTCGGGGTATATAAAAGTTGTCTTTGAATAAATTGGGCCCTGGAGGGGGGGAAGGGAAGAAAGCATCTCTAAGGTAATAGAAATAAATCTATAAAATATTTGTGGACCACGAGAGAATCTATATCACATAGATCATAAAGAGCCTGGAATTAAATTAAATTTGAGCACAATTCAAATAGAATAGCATCAGAACCTGTCACTTGTTTGCTTAGGAAATGTGAAGGAAAGAATGTGAAATTTCATTCATTTTCTTGCCATCGGTGTTACTGGCTCCATGAGAAAAGACAATCTGGCTTGAAAAAAAAGAACAAAAAAATCAAAACACAACTAGGAAGAAACTCCATGAATGGTCTGTTGTTTTGAAGCCCCAAGGGCCTACTGGAATCCCTCCCCCATCCCTGAGGACATGTTATCTCTTGTTCTTTCAGGGATGGGTGACATGGCTGTATCCAACTCCATCGGAAGCAATGTGTTTGACATTCTGATTGGCCTGGGACTCCCGTGGGCTCTACAGACCCTGGCAGTGGATTATGGCTCCTATGTGAGTAGCACTCTCCATGACTTTTTGGTGATACATAGAACCTGGGCTTGTGCATGTCCTTTTTTTTTTTTAACTCCCTTTTGAAGAACTTTCAATAACGTTCCATGGGCTGTTGCACTGGTGGTTTCCAACAATTCACAGGTGAGTGAATCTTCCCTATAGCTATTGTTTGGAATGTTCTTTTTGACTAGTTCTTAACCTGGGGTATGTGAACTTGTTCTGTGTGTGTGTGTACATACACACATATATATGAATACATGCATATATATGTGCACACATACCTGTATGTGTATGCATATATGTGTGTATAGCTGTGTATATACACTGTGTGTATGCATGTATATGTATATTATATATATATCTGTATGTATATACATCTATATATGCATAGTATATATATATATGCATACACACAGTGTATATATATGTATGTATGTGTATACCTATACATGTGTATGTGCACATGTGTACATATACATATATGCATATATAACTCTATTTCAACATAATTGGTTCCCTCTATAATCTTATGTATTTTATTTCATACATTTAAAAACATTATTCTCAGAAGGAGTCCATAGTCTTCACCTGACTGTTGAACAGAGCCATGAAAGTGAGAAGGTTAAGGACCTCTACTACTTTATGGTAAGAAGCTTGAAACTAAAGAAATGAGTCCATGAAGAAAGGTTGTTGTCTTAGAAAATTAAAAAAAATTAAATTTAAAGGTCACATGTGAAATATTATATTCAGTTCTTGGCACCACATTTTAGAAAGACATTGACAAACTGGCGTGTGTGTTCAAGACAGGATGTAACTAGGAAGGTGAAAGGTCTAGAAACCATGTTGTAATTGAAGGAACTTGAAAAGAGAAAATGTGAAGGGAGAAGAGGGAAGGAGACATAGAGGATGCCAGGATTCAGCCCTACTGAACCCATCAGCATCCCAGGACAGCAGCTACTCTTCCTATATATAACTGCTGCTTCAGACATTTAATAGCTGTGTGAGCCTGGAGAAGACACTAACCTCTTTGGGTTTCAGTTTCCTCATCTATAAAACAGTGATAAACATAGCACCTTCCCTCACAGGGTTTTCTGTGAGGACCAAATAAGTTAACATATGTCAACTTTTGCATACATACATATATGTGTCCATACATGTGTGTTTGCTTTTCAAACTTTAAGATGCTATAGAAATACTAGCTATTATCATTATTACATATTATAAATAAATTATATATCATTCTTTCATCATCATCATCATCATTATTATTATTATTAGCCTTTTCCCTTTTGCCTTTTTGTATTCCACAGTAAACTATTAAGTGGAATATCGGTGCCCTCTCCTCAAGGGCCCAGACTGTTTCAACACTTGTCATTATATCCCTAGCGCCTAGCACAGTACCTGAGAATAGTAGATCGATGCTTATTGAATGATTTAATGGATGTTGTTAAAACTTCCCTGATCTCTGAAACCCAATGAAAGGACCTTATGTTCTTGGACTTTCCTTGGGTCCCTGAATGAGCCTGGGTCCCTGTGTTCAAAGATCTGCCATATATCCAAAGGCTAACTACTGGTCCAACACTCAGCATAGCACCTGGAATCTGGTAGGCACCTCCTAAATGCTCAGACACTTGACTTGTTAGTCTCCCTTCCCTCTGACCATTTCTATGTCTCTGATGGTGGTGGCAGTGATAATGAGGAGGAGGATAATGATGATCATAATAAGGAACATTTACACTGCACTCTAAAGTTTGTAAATTATGGATAGGAGCTTCACATCAATCCTATGAGGTAGCTACTACAGGTATTATGCTCATTTTGCAGATGAAAAAAACTGAGGCTCAGAGAAATTAAGCAATTTACCTCTAGTAACCCATCTGGTAAATGTCAGAGACCCTATCTGAATTCAGTTTTTTTTCTGATTCCAAGGCTACTCTTTTTTATGCACCCATTTCCCTTTCTCCCTATTTCCAACAGAAGAATGAATTTCTAGGGCTTATTCCCAAGAAAAAGAGAATATAAATTCAGAAATCATACATTAGAGTAAGGCCATTAGAAGTGCAGAAAGAAATCTACCCCATCTTAGGTGGGACAGCCTTAAATTTCCCCATCTATCTTAATAGTCCCCCAAGCCTAGCCTGGATATGTGGATTCGCCATGGCCTGGGAGTGGCCACACTGCTTCCAAACCTTTTGTGGCCCTGGAGAAAGAATGGTGTTTTCTTTTCAGGACTAAAAATATTTGGTTAATCATTCTAATGCCAATGTGCCATGCTAATGTTCCAGGCATTTTCTCTCACTGTCCCCCATGTCTAGAATGCTCTCTTTCTTCATCTCTACTGACTTCCTTCCCTGACTTCCTAGCCCCAACTAAAAGCCCATCTTCTACAGGAAGCCTTTCCCAACCACTCATAATTCTAGTGCCTTTCTCTTAATTACTTCATATTTACCCTGTGCTTGTACATATTTGTCTGTTTGTTTCCACCATTAGATTGTGGACTACTTGAGGGCAGGGACTGACTTTTACATCTTTTGGCATCCCCAATACTTTGCATAGTGCCCCTCACATAGTAGGCATTTAAATGTTCGTTGATTGATTGAATCTCAGCCAACCAAGAAGCTTCTACATAGCCCTACTCATAGTAATACACCATCCTTTAGCTAACTAATCATAATAAGTGACATTTATGAGACATTTCAAAGTCTGTTAAATGCTTTTACATGAATGATTTTATCTGATCCTTACAACAACCTTGTGAGTTAGGGACTACAGATATTATCGCCATTTCACAGATTAGGAAACTAAAGTTCAAAGATTAAGTGACTACTTGCCCACGATCACACTGCTAATAAGTGTCAGAAGCAAAATTTGAACCCAGGTCTTCCTGCTACCAAGTCCAGCACTCAATCTACTATACTGTACTGCTTCTCATAATTTAATTTTATAGATATCTAGACATCTAACCTTCCCTCCCACCCCAACCCCAACCACAGGATGAGTAGAGAAAGACAAGTAGGCTCACTAGAACTTTTCTCATCTTCTCAAAATCAGAAGAATTCATCCCAATACAAAAGTCACCTCTAGAGTTCAGAAAAGATAAAAAAAAGATATCCCTGTTCTTTACAGGCACATGATAGAATCTTTTAAACTTTTAAAAGGCTATGACAGGGAAGAGGGAGCAGTCTTACTATACAGGGCAGAACTAGAACCAACAGGGTAGAAGCCACAGGTAGATAAATTTTGGCTTAGTGCTAAAAAAATAATTACTCACAGTTAAGAGTTGTACCGGAATGGAACAGATTTCCTCCTTAAATATGGAGTTCCCCATAACTTAAAGTATTTGAGCACAGACTTGGCAGCCATTTGTCAGGAATGCTGTGGAAGGGATTCCTGCACTGGAAGAGAGGCTAGACTAGGTGATCTCTATCACCATCCAAATCTTTTGTTGTTGTTGTTCTTGTCTTTTTCAGGCAACTCTTCATGACCCCATTTGGGGTTTTCTTAGCAAAGGTATTAGAGTGGTTTGCCGTTTCCTTCTCCAGTTCATTTTACAGATGAGGAAACTGAGGCAGAGTTAAGTGACTTATCCAAAGTCCCCAGCTAGAACATGTCTGAAGCAGGATTTGAACTCAGGTCTTCCTAGCTCTAGGCCCAATATTCTATCTACTGCACAACCTAGCTGTCCCATCCAACTCTAAGATTCTGTAATTCTTTTAATGCTGTTTCTTCGTGTGAAATTAGCCAAGATTTCTCAATTAAGATTTTGATATTTCAGTAGATCTATCTTCAATGGATGTATTCCATCCATCAGACAAATTGCAACTCCTCCATGTCTTCTCATCCTTTGCTACTATTGTCCATGTCCTTCTATAAATTCTCTATAAAAGATTCATCAAACCCTAGAGACCTTCAATTAGACTTTCTAATATCTGTCAGATACCAGGATAACTCTCAGGTTATCCATCTTTTATCCCTCACTTTTGCCACATGAGTGGTCAGCCTCTTTTTTCCAATCATGCATGTCCCTGAGGATGTCTTTTTGGCCACTTCTTCTCTACAAGTCACCGTAGACCATAACCTATTTACCCTCAACATGCACCTCTCCTTTGTCTTTGGGTTACTCATAATTTTAAGTCTTCAGAGACTGTGATGTTCCATAATGTCTAGCAATAAAGCATTATTCCTGCTCCCAGTCTTTGATGGCACACAAGTGACCCTGAGTTCCCAAAATCATACCAACGGAGGACAAGATAGAAATCCATCTATTGGCAGGCTATGTCTGCTATCATAGGACCAGTCAAACTATGGATAAGGTGCAATGAATCTCAGCACCAGCACAGTGGCAACTTACTAAATTTGCTCCATGTAACAATAAAATGTTTATCACCATGCAACTTTTTGTTCTAACCTTTCTGGTTTTTGCCTTGACTAAAAGCAAAAATATTACAAAGCTTTTTAATGCTTTTAAGAAATTAAATATTATGTTTTCCACCTAGGGTAGGATCATTAAGCCTTTGTCTTAAAAAAAAATGAGGTAGGGGAGAATGTTTCCTCCCCAGTTGACCCCTGGCCTGCTGACTCTTTCTTAAATTCCTCCACTGGCCCCCAGTAGCTGCACCCTTATGTGTCCTGAGGCCACTCGGACCCTGTCACCATTGTGTGCTCCACCTCCCAAGCCTCATCTGCCCCTACTACCACTCTCCTACCTATGGCCTCCCTCTCCCGAGCCTCCTCCCAACAGTTAATGTTTCAAGATGGGTATTGCCAGTTATGCTGTTGAAACATGAGTCAGATTCTTTAGAGAATGATTGACGACTCTTGGCACAACTGAAGTTGACTGGGGCTGTGTTATGCAACCACTGGGCAAAGGAATCTAAGCCACACCTTTTACAGGGCATGCCTATAAACAACTAACGTCCCTCCCAAATCCTCAGCAAGCTCATCCCACCTCATGCAAAAATTCATCATTATTTCGGCTCCCATTCTTTCTCTAAAGAGAT